TATATATATATATATATATATATATATTAGGGCTGCGGAAATAAACGATTAATTCCTCGATTAATCGGTAATTTTTTTGATCGATTAAAATGTTTTTGATCGGTACTCACCTCTCCCCCGGCTTCCGGGTCTTCCGGGAGTTCCCCCCTTCCCCAAGTGGCTCCGTTGGCTAACGAAGGGAAGGGGGGAGGAGTCCGGTAACGTGGATTTCCGTGACAGCTAATGAAGGGAAGGGGGAGGAGTCCGTTGATGTCGATGTCCGTGATGTCACCGGACTCCTCTTCCCTTTCCTTCGTTAGCCGACGAGAGACTAACGAGGGAGAGGAGGAAATCCAGAAGCAGGTCTTAATGGCTCACAGCGGTCATACAGCTGCTTAAAAAATCAGTGTGCTTTACAAATGTGCCCTTTGCTTCCCTTAAGTAAGTAAAACTCTGTTTATTTAATGGGAAGGTGGGAGAGGGGGGTGCTAAGATGAGTAAAGTGTTTGCTTCAGAATTACACCATTCAATCCATACAGCTGTCTTGTCTGTATTTTATGAATGCAGGCACAATGTGACATAAACACTAAGGTGTCCTGAGATGAACAAAACCAAAGTTGTCAAAGGAACAGGAGGTGAGGAAAAATCTTCCAATGGGGAAACTGGTTAAATGGGAAAACTGTCACCTCATTTTGGGGATATTTCCTCTTAATTCCTGCATGTCTCTGGGACAGGAAATGAGGGGAAATCTTCTAAATGGGACACTACCTGAGCTCTGTACTGCATTAAGAAAGAAAAAAAAACCTGACGTCACTACCCTACTCTATCCAAAAATAAAAAAAATAAAAGTTTTGGCCGTACAGTGAGATAAAATATATGCATGCCTTTATTGGCTGAAGAGGCATATGTTCACAATCCCAACCCCACCACATAGTCTGCTTGGGGGCCTATTGTGCAGACAGAGGACTTCAGTGTGGGATGTAAACAAACACATTGTTCCATAATATGGAGTAATGAAGCTTTGACTAATTTATACCAGCTTAATAAGTCTTTCTATCAATACCTGCAGATTTTTACCTTGTTTTTTCATTTCGGTGTGTGGCGCTGTCCCCATTACCATTGTTGCTTAGACAAGAATTCTGTATGTGCGTTATAATTAATCGAAATTAATCGATTAAAAAAATGTCGATTAATCGAACACGAAAATTGTAATCATTACCAGCCTATATATATATTTA